CACTTTGCCCACCATGGGATTTTCATTAGCTATACTTCTGAGAATGCAATTTGTTAGAATGAAGGTTTTTCAGTATTTGCTAATTAAAGTTCACAGCCCTTGAGATGACTGGTATTTGAAAGTTGCAATGAAAAATAAAAAAATGTTTTATCCAAGACAATGGTGCACGTACTACAGGATGTGTTTCTGTAATCTGAGAATTTCCTAGTGGCTTAACCTATGTTAGGAGGAAATTTTACCACAGTATCTTCTGTTTGAGATGATTTATTTTAGACATTTGTTTATCCACATCAGAAGTTTTTATCAAAGCTTCTAAGTTAAGGAAAGTAAAACTTCTGTGCCTATAACTTGGATGTTTTCTAGATGAGTAAATAATTGGAGAGAAAGTATGGAAGAAAATGGTAATTAAATGAGAAAGCAAAAATAATTTGTTTGGAATTGCATGTGATTGTTTTTGACCTTGGTGGAACATGAAGAGTGTGCTGAAATAACAATAAATGGTTAAAAAAAAAAAAAGTCTTTTTCCCTCTAACAAAATCATATCAGGGTGGTCTCTAGATATATGCATTTACTAATGAATAGTGGGGACGAATGCAATCAATTAATTAGTTAAAATGATACAAATGATTGACAATAGCCTGAATAGCCTGGAAAGAGGGCTACAGAATTTTGGAGGCAAATGGTACTTTACTCTGATAGATATAAGCATGGGGATTCTTAACCCCTCAAAGTCAATCAGAAGCAAAGCCTCTTCAAGCCAAATGACTTTTTCTAGGAATTGTGAGATTGGCAGTACCAGCTATATATGACATTCTCATTGAAATATGTGTCCTTTTAAAACTGAAAAACCCTCAACTATATGAAAAGTAACAGGAAATAAGACAGAAAAAAAAAAGCCTTTTGAACAAAAATCTCCAAAGAGAAAAATAGCAATGGAGTAACCGCTATCACTGTTCAGTTTATTTTGCTAACATCTAGTTTTCAGTGGGCAGGATGGACGTTCAGATGGTAATGACCCTGCTATAGTTAAGAATAGAGGACCTCTCAGATGGAGAAGTGTTGTCATGACCCTACTTGAGGCTACTGTGGGTGATGCAAATCATCTTGTGAGACCCCTTTGCTGCTCTTTCTTTAATTTTGCTTACTGGTGGGGTTGAAAGGTTAGCCAAACCATTTGCCTCCCATCACCACTTACGCAACCCACTTACAAGTCTTTACAATCCTGGCCTCCAGCCTGGGAGAGGGGAAGTAGGTTAAAAGAGATTATGTAATGCTAGCCTAGAGTTGTTAGGGGAAGAACGTGTGCATGACTAAGTAATGCAGCTCACTTTGTCCTTTTACAATTTGCTCCAATAAAATTTTATTCTGAATGAAATTCTGGAAGGAGTGAAATGAAATGGAGAGCAAAGAGTCATGGAAAAGGGGGTGCAGCACAGAAATCCTCCCTTCTCCCCCACAAAGATGCCAAGATCTGTGGGATGAAAAGAGCGACAACTGAAAACAAAGAGAACTTTTATATTTGCCTCAGTGGAAAGCACTAAAATTGAGTTTCTGAATCTGTTGAACCACTTTACCCCATAACTTCTTATCACAAAACATTCTATCCCTACCAAGTTACCCCTTTGGATCTTTAAAATATTTAATTTAAAATTATAACAAATGCAGTTTATATAGTTGTATTCAGTTTTTTACTAACAAAAAAAAATTTCCAAATATTGAACTTGACATGTTTCTTTATAAAAAATACCTGAAAAATAGTGATGGCAAAGGAAAATCATGGAGAATCTGATCATTCACACAAGCAAGTTAGGTTTTTCTTCTGTCAATTTTATATCTAAATAAAGGTCAAAATTATCAGTTTAATTATAAGAAAGAAAGAGGGATAGATGGAGGAAAAGAGGGAAGACAAGAGGTGGGGGAAGGATAGCAGGGAGAAGCCAGGAAACAGTCATTTTATCCAGTGATCATTATGGTACAAAGTAACATTTAAGCACTTTTATTAAGGAGTCTCTCTTCTTAATCCACAAAATAATTCTGTGGTCCCCCACTCTATGTTTAGAGGTGGAAACAATATATTCAGCTGTATGATATTTATGTTTATAAGACTGAGTTGCTAGAAAGGCTAATTAAATCCTCCCACAAGAACTGGCACAGACCCTGCTCTATAGAAATGTTCTTGCAAAGACTTCTTTTTGATCCATAACTGTTATATTTCCTGGCACTAGATGTTGTTCTGGATCTGGAAGGGGGAAGCTTTGTAGATTGGCCACTCTTCATGTTAAGTGATGAGTTTGGCCCTTTGCAGAAAAGCACAGGATTCATACTGCATCAGGAGCATACCTGGCCTCACATTACAGCCCTATCACCAGGAACAAGACTGATTTAGAATATCTCAGGGTGGTCTTCTGGTATGTAAAAAAGAGGAGCCTGGTACCTTTTTAACTCTGATTGGAAGTTATTCAAGAAAAGATGGGACTGGAAAGAAAAATTAGAACCATTTGCTGCAAGATTGTGGGAAAACTTTACTAAGATGATTTCTGAACATTTCCATGTTCACGATAACTGGAGTAAAGATGAACTACCATAGCACCTCTTTTCTAGGCTTCTTATAATTAGTCTGTTTCTTTTTATAACTTCTTTGGTTAAATCTGCAACTCTCCCTTAGAATCTCAAATCATTTCATCATTCCTAAGCAGTACCAGTGGCAAGTAACTTCTGGTCAGCAAGACTGTTTCAGCTCACAGTTAATTACATATAGTTTTAAAGCAGTCTGTAAGTCTCAAAATAAGCACTGTCTGCATTTCCTGTGAACAGTTGCTAGATGAAACTAAAAGACAACTAGGTAAGGGAGACCAGTGAATGTTAAATTAATCTAAACAAACAAATCTAAACAAACACAAATCTGTAAATTATTTACTATCTTCATTTTGTTAGATGTTCATTGACATTAAGGATAAATACTTGTCCTACTGGCTTGTAAGTATGGAGGGTAGCAAAAGAAAGATGACATGACAGAGGGGATGAAAAATAAAGCTAGAGATAGAGTATGATTATGTGAATAAAATGAGACATGATGGCATATTTTTGGCTAAGCTTGAAATTATTTTCTTGACCAAATTAATCATGATTATGAGTGCCAAAGTAATAGGTAAAATTCACCAAGTATCTATAGCAAATAGTTTGGGAAAGAGTGAGAGTATGTCTCCCAATATTATTGGTATTATTAGGATGCTTTTGGAGGTAGAGCTCTGCATATAGAAGTAACATTTTTTAATCCTCATAGTGTATTGTGATATATTGATAGATTACAGTCTGGTGTGTGTGTGTGTATGCATATGTATAAACACATATATATTTAAAACCATTTACTACTCAGATATGTATGTACAGAAGAGTCTGTCAGAAGTAAAATTAGCCTTTGATGTTTACCCAGTATTTGGGACATGAAATGTGCATCTGTCTCCTATGAATATAAACTTGTGCCTGGTGCTTGGTTACATCGGCTTAATTCTGCAATACCTGAATTCATTGAATATTGACTATTGAGAACTTTGTCCATAATTAACATAAGTAGATATTGGTAAGTTAAGGCATTTTGGTAGTGGTTTGGTAAATTGAATAATTACATTTCTCTCTCTCTCTCTCTCTCTCTCTCTCTCTGTATGTGTGTGTGTGTGTGTGTGTGTGTGTGTGTAGATGCTAGGGATTGAACTCAGAGCTTCCATGTGCTAAATACATATTCTATACTGAGCTACCTCTAGCCCTAAATCTCTTATAGGCTTAATTATTTAATTATTTTAAACAGATTCATATATTTAAAACATACTTTTTTAGAGGGCTGGGGTGGTCACGGCTCAGAGGTAGAGCACTTGCCTAGCATGCATGAGGCACTGGGTTCAATCTTCAGCACTACATGGAAACAAAATAAAGATATTGTGTCCACTTATAACTAAAAAATAAATATAAAAATGAGTTTGATAATAAGATTATTTTCAAGTGAAATCAAAGCAATATTTTAAGGCAAAATAATTGAGGAAATTTGAAGTTTTTCACATTACCTTGCATTCAATATGTCAGATAGTGTTTATAACAGTTCTGTAAATGTCCCCCATTTTAATCCTAATAAACTAAATCTCAGATATTTTAGATGACTTATAACAAAGTTACATATCTCGTACTTTAAATTGTATCTTCAAACCCTAAATGTACATACCCTGAATGTTAAAAATTTAATTATTTCAGTCACTACCTTATGGAATAGAAGATTCTCTGCAAACTGAGCAAAAGAATTCCTTCAGTTCTCTTTATTCAGTTTTCTAAACAGGTTATAATATATAGCCTATGAGATGAAATTTTGAATAAGTTTAATATACATCTCACAGGATAGTTTTGATACTTTAAGATCATACTCAATGAGGTAAAATAACGATATTCTTATGATTTAAGTTGCTTTCTTATTTGTACTTCTGTCTCCCAAATCGACAGACAACTTTGAGGTCTCAGTACAGTGAGCACATTTGACATGACTTGATCTAAATACAGAAGAGACTGTAGTTCAGCACTGGCTCAGGACTCTGAGTCACAAGTGTATAACCAGGTTGCATCAGAACAGAATCATTCTGTTGTAGCAGAATCTGCCACAGTTGTGTACATGTGATCACAGAGCTGAATTTCATACTTAAAATCTTAGATTTCCACAAAATACTCTATTTTTAGATTAGGTAGTTAATTAAGGGCCTATTTATATCTTACATGTGCATTTAACCATCTTGTCCACTATAATTTTGCTGTCTGGTCCCAAACAGGGAAAAAAAAATCTTTGGACAATAGTTATTACTTTATTGACTGTGCTCATTTCCTCTTAAGCAGATTTTTACAACTTCTTCTTTTGAGTCCAATTTTCCTATAATTTGTTTACATCAATGGCCCCTTGATAAAATGATAAAATCTTTCTCCAAAAAGCATATGAATTTGGAACTCTCTCTTGTTGTTTATATTAGGCTTTATTTTAAAGGCAAGTGAGACTGATTCAAATAAAACAACTCCAAGCTTCCAAGAAACAGTTAAGAGAAGGCGGAGACGAGCAGAAACACTTCTTCGTTGACACACGGTTGCCATGGACCTACATAAGCAGTGGGAGAACACAGAAACTAGCTGGCATAAGGAAAAGATGGAATTACTGGACCAGTTTGACAATGAAAGAAAGGAATGGGAAAGTCAATGGAAGATCATGCAGAAGAAGATAGAAGAGGTACAAGTTGATTTGTTTTGAATATACTGTAAACTTCAAGCTCAGGATCAAAATTCTGTTGAAGTTTGTTTTATATTAGAAACCATTTTTATTTTCCTTATTCCACCAAAGAGATTGCATGTCTCACTGACATTTACTATACTAAAAATAGCATAAGCTTACCTAATGGCATCTTAGGGACTATGCTTATTTTATAGTCTTGCATGAAAAGTGTGACCCTGAAAAGTCACTCAAAAATGTATTAATCTATCATATTCTGGCTAGAGAGGTTTAATGTCCAAAGTGATATATGTATTCTGCATGAGTTTTAAAATATCACAGCCTCAGAAGGAAATGCAAGAAATACATAATTGGTGAATATATATTAGCAAAATTTTAATTGGGCATTAGTGTATATAGCCCAATTAGAATATCTTTCCTGGAATGATAAGTAATGTCTACTAAAGGAAATTACAATATATCAGATAACTTAGTATAGTAAAAAGGAGTGTCACATATCAAACAGGAAATGGTAATGGACATGAGATTTTTTCTGGTAAGATATGCTACATTTATTAGGAAAGGAGTTATGAAAAATGACATATCATATCATGACTCTAACACAGTCATTTTATTCTCATTAACAACCCCTAGCCGATTGGGCCTGGAATATTTCCTTCAAGCATTTGCACTGGTAAAGATTCCTACTTGCTCTAACTGGAAATTAGTTATACTTATCTTGCTTTATTCTGATAAAAAACCACAGTATTGACTTATATGATTTTATGCATCTTACCAAAACAGTTATTTTAAAAGATTCTTGGGCCTTTCTTTGCAAGCAAAGTGCCTTATATATGTATAGTTTTATTTTTTTCCTAATAACAGCTTACTACTTATGAACAAAATACAAACCATAAAAAGTTGCTATGCCAAACCAAAAAAAAAATGAACAAGAGAGAAGATACTCACCAAATATCTGATTAAGAGATTAGAAGACAAATTTACTATTCCCCCCTTTATATTTTGGAAAATGTGTTCTGCATGCTCCCTTATCTCCTGTCTCTTTCCAGAGACTGACATTAGAGCAACAAAGAAATTCCTAAGTCAAACCAGAATCTAAAATGCTAATTCAATCAGAAAATGACAGTCATGTGTCACCTGCACCCTAAGACTTGGGAGATCCAGTTGGTAACAGTATCAGAAAACTCTAGCATCCAAGCAAAATAATTAAGGGATGCAGTCAATTTTTTAACCATGTTGTTAAAACAGTTTGCTGTCTGGTCAAATTTGTTATTGTTCAATAATTATTCTAACAACTCTACAGATTCCATATGTGATTAATATTAGCCATTATCAACCAGCAGGCATTAGACATGCTATAAACAGAATTATAGCTACCAGAGATACTCTCCTTTTTTGCATCAGGAAGAGAGAAGGGCTCTAACATTTTTTCCTCAGAGTAGCTACATGCTATATATATCTGGCTCTCTGTGATATATAGCTACATAGTTGGGAATATGTTTAGATAACGTGCTCACCAAGAATGCCCAAGGATACTTTTCAATACCTGAAACTAACACTGTGCTCCTCTTATTTTACACACCCACACACACCTTCTTACAGGCTACAAAACTGGGATAAAAAGATTAAGAAAAACAGGAGGAGCTCAATGTGATGGCATGTGCCTGTAATCCTAGTGGCTAGAGGTGGAGGCAGGAGGATTCCAAGTTCAAAGTTAGCCTCAGCAAATTAGCTAGGCCCTGTGCAAGTTAGTGAGATCCCATATCAAAATGAAAATTTAAAAGGGGGAGGGGGCTGGAAATGTGGTTCAGTGGCTAAGCACCCTGAGCTCAATCCCTGGTACAAAAAGAAAAATAGGAGGAAAGTATTTTAGTGTTTTCACCTATCACAAAGAATCAAGACAATTTTTTCAAACTAAAATTTAGAAATCAGGACTTGGAAATATTGCAGCATGTCACAAGCATAATCAACAGTATTTGTTTAACATTTATCACCAAATCTGTATAGAAAATCAGATGTAGTACTGCCTAGCTTGTGTGAGGTACTGGGTTTGATTCTTAGCACCACATATAAATGAACGAATAAAGTTCTGTTCATCTACAACTACAATTTTTTATTTATAAATCAGATGCAAATTTTTGAATCATGCAAGAGAATTGTGAACTTGCAGGCATATACTTATAACTTCAGAGATTTCAAGTGACTTATCATCTAATGAAAGCATCCAGCATTGGGCATTAAGATGCTTCCCCAAGGGCAGAGAAGGGGCTTATTTCTCCCCAGCAAGAATTGAAATTGTGTTTCTCAGCAATCCTGGCTATTATGAGCCAACCCAGATACAACTCAATTTAATAAATGTTTGTTGCACATCAGTATTATAGAGTGAATTCATACAGGTTCTATATGTGCACAGCTCTTCAGCTAATCTCCAGCAGTTAGAAGAAGCTTAACAGATCCTACTTTCCTTTGGGGATATTTCTTCTTAATGACCAGAAAATTCTGTAATGTTCATTTTTGTTAATCTTGAAAATATCGGAAGAAGGTTGCTGCTCAAAATTGTGGCCCATTTTGGCAAATAAAGAAAGCTGTTCAAGTTCTCTGAAAAAAAAATCAAGATGATGCTGATGAATCTTTGTTTCACAACTATTGATACTACCCATAATCATTGCATTTGCTTTTGGAAAGCCAAGACGATCATGCCTGAATCATTTGAAATTTGGAGTAATACAGATAGAAATTCTGAATTGTTTAAATATCATTATTTTTAACTTTTTTATTTTTTCACATTGCAATCTTTATGACTTGTTTCCTTTGGTGGAATGATCAGAAAGCTATTGACAAGTGCTGAATGCTAGATAAGATAAAGTCACTTATGCAAAGCAAATGGTTTTCCATTAATTACAGCATATTATTTGTTATTCTTTACTAGCTAAGGACCCAAGAGAATATATGATGTCTCAAAATTACACATATGGTCAAGTATACAAAAACAAAGATAAATAAGATGAAGACAGAAGGAAGTGAAATGCAGAAATAAATCTGTCTTCCTAGCAAATAATGCAAATACTATCTGTTGCATATTCCTCAACATCCAAGAGACCAAAAACTAACCTATTTCCTAGGAATAGAACTTCTCCCCCTTGTTATGAAACTATAGGAATATTGTTTTCACTCAAGACTTCTCAAAAGGAGGGTAACATCACCAACAGCCTCCTTAGATTTAACATGGTCTCTTCATATCCATTTTTTTTAGTGAACTTTTCTAATTGTGACTAAAATACATGACCAGAACAACTTAGAGAAGGGACATTTATTTGGAGATCATAGGTTCAGAGGTCTCAGTCCGACTCCATTGCTCTGGGCCCAGGATGAGGTGGCACATCATGATGGAAGGACCCAGCAGAGGAAAGCTGCTCAGCTTATAGTGGGGTCAGAAACCAGGGCACCAGGGTCACAGGGAAGATGAACTTTTCAGGACAGGTCCCCAGTGTGACACACCTAACCTAGCCACACCCTACCTTCCTACAGTTACCATTCAGTCTATTCAAACTAGGATGACCGATGAGGTTATAACTCTCACAGTCAATCACTTTACCTCTAAACATTCCTGCATTAACTCAGGATCTTTTGGGGAACACATCATATGTAAAACATAACAGGTGAACCCAGATCATAATGCCATCAGCAGCTTAGGTTATTTTTATAGATACCAAAACAATTGAGTCACAGTGCTATTTGGTGATACGCTGCTTTATACAATGAGTGCTTTTAAATTTATAATCATTAGGGAAATAAATGTACCACATATCTTTCAGGGATCAACTCTGTGTAGTGCTTTTCTCAACTGAGTGTTGGGCAAATATTGAGCAGCAAAGTAACTGTTGTTGAAGTCCTTGAATAATACATGTAATGCAGATATTGATGATGGCTGTGAAATGGAGTCATTTGCTTTCATATTTTTCTGACAGTCTCTTTGGATATTTGAATATATTTCCCAAGAGTCAAGCCTAAAGAAAAGCCTACTTCCTTCACTTTTTAGGAGTGAGCTGAGCGTCTGCAGACTTAACAAAGATCTCAAGAAGTAATTTGGGACTTGCATTAACACAAATAGATGGTCAAAGCCTTTGAGCTTTATTGTTTCACATGGGTCATTATCACACTTTTTAAAATCTTAATGAGAAATTTCTTTTAGAATGTGTATAGTCTTGGCATTAAAAACACCAGTAATATCTAGCCGTTACCAATGTAGTTAATAAAAAGAAGTATTTTTTGATTGACAAGTGCCTACTTGGGGAACAGAATGAGTTGATTTACTATATAATTGTCAGCTATTTAGACAGTTAAATATCAGTGTGTAAATATGGTCATATGTTTAAAATAAATGACTTTAATGATAATTAAACTCTTGCTTCTCTGAAAACAATTAGAAAGCATGGTCAGTAGTTGATTCAGGTAATTCCTTTTGTGACAATGCTTCTGCATCTATGTATAGAATCAGATTTACTTCTCAATGACAATTTCTGATTAGAAAGAAAAAACAGCATCCAAGCATTGCCTTTCTTAGAGTAGTATTTATGGTTCATCAAAGTTGTTCCAGCTAATCCACATTGTAGAGGCACCATTTGGAGGAGTAAGCATGAACATCCAGGGAAGTATATAGTAAGTAATATGGCAAAGAAAGTTCAAAATGTTTTCTTGTTATCAAGAATATTGACAAATGAGTTAAGAGGAAAAAAAAAGTTTCCATTTTAATTTCTTACAGCTTTGCCAAGAAGTAAAGCTT